GCCAGCACAGCGTAGTTATTAACAAACAGAGTGGGTCTTGAAGTCAGCCTGATTTGAGGTCCACATCTTACTCTGCCTGTCATTAAGCAAATCACTTTGATTTATTCTTCTAATCCTGTAAAGCCTGGGTTTCCTTATCTCCTGATGGGGCAAGAATACCACTATTTTATGGGGGCTGGTGTGAGGATTAAGTAACAACAGTTAGAGCCAACATGAACCAAGCCGAACTGTGGGCCAGGCACTGAACTAAGGGCTTTGCAAATGCTGGCTCACGTGTTGCTCCTGGCAATTTCACCGTGTAGGGGTGGTTATACAGTCAACTCTCAGAGTGACTTGGCTGTTACTGTATTTATGATGGTGAAGAGGAGATTCTGCTCAGAGAGCAGCTTCTCCTGAGTGCAGCTCAGATTCCGGCTGCTGGGGCGGTCTGGAGAGGTCGTCAGAGCTGGCCGGCAGCGCACTCTGCCTGGCCGGCTACAATTTGACCCTCCGCTTGGCTGGGTTCTTCTAATGTGACTTATGACATTCAACCTCTAGGTGGCGCTGCAGAGCGGGGACTCGACTGCTGACCGCGGCGCCGCCTGGCGGTCTGTTCCCGTCAACACTTAGATTAAGTGCAGAGCCGGTTCCGCAAGTGAAGTGCGTGTCCAGGTGCACCTGCGTAGTGAGAGAAGATGACAGATGCGGAAAAAAAGTTAGAATTTAATGTTAGTTGCGTGACAGAGAGGACCAAGCTGTGCAGCACGGGGAGTCAGAAAAAGGGGGGACCAAGCCACACCAAGGAATGACCGTCAATAATTACATTAATGTCTAGAATTTACTGACCACCTACCATGTGCCAGGCGCTGTCCTAAGCATTTGGTGTTCATTGCCTTATGTAACACACCTCTAGTAAGTACGTGTCTCAAGAACAGTGGCTGTATTTCATTTAGCGCCTAGCACACAGTAGGTCTCTGGCACATAGTAGGTGCTCAACACATTTGTAAATGAGTGAACAATACAATAATCCTACAATTTTCCCCTCCAAATAGTAGTAATGTAGAGGCAAATATTATCTCCATTTAGAAAAACGAACGATGGTGGGAGAGGTTGCACAGCTAGCGCATGACAGAGCCAGGGTACGTGAGATTTAGATCCAGCTCTGCCATGTGCCAGGGTTTCCCAGAGAAGAGCAGGCTCTCTGCCTTCAGGGAGCTTGCTGTCTAGTTGGCTGCATCTACATCCTCCCTGTCTTCAAATACTGTATGGGGGGGCCTGCCAGGGATGGCTATTTATGGCCCAGGGAGGAGGTCCAGCGAAGCGTCCCTCATAAATTATAAAGGAAGACACATGTGGGTCAGGATTGGGGAACTGAGTACATGAGGGATCCCCAGGAATCTTACACAGCCCAGTCAGGGATTTTCCTTCTCTTACCCTGGAGAGTGGCTGAGGTAGGCAGCAAGCATTTGCTGAGTACCCATAATGAGCTCCCAGGGGTGCCTCCTGGTCCACAGAAGAGGCTCTCCTCTTCCCTGTCACAGAGTTTCAGTTCCTGTGAATGGAGCTCTCAGCCCTGGCTGCTGGCTGCTTTTGAGCAGTGGGTTTCCTAATCTCCAAAATGGGGGTGATGGCTTATCTTGTATACCCCAGCCCCTGCATGAGGAAGGGTTGAAAAGTGCTGTGCATTTTTTATGATTTGCACATCTAGTCCATTCAGATTCTGGGGATCCGTCAGGCATGGTCCGGGTGTATTAGACTTTTTCCTGGAGAGGGGGTTGTGAATGGACATAAATAACTGCTGTTATGAGATGCCCAGCTGCCTTTCTCTGAATGGCCTCTGGTATCTGTTTTTGAGTTCTTGAGTATATATATTCTTTTCAGCATTCCATGGTCTTTACTATTGTCAGGCTGTCACTGAACTGTCACTCCCATTTGGCTTCCCTGGGGAATTTTCTTCCCTCTCCTAACTCACTGCTTCAAGAGTTGTCAGGAAGAGAGGACCAGGCTCCTTGTTTATTTCTTCTGTGAATAGAAAATGCCAGTGTCAATGCATAGACTTTGAGCTACCAATTCTGACCATTCAATGGCTTTTTTTTTGTTGTTGTTTGCTTGTTTATTCAGAGGCTGTGGGATATGGAGGTTATAAAAAATCAGGTCTCCAAATGTGAGAGGTCACTTCAGGCATTTCTTTGCACTTACCCAAAACAGACTCCATCAATACCTGATTAATGGAACGTGTGAAGAGCTTGGCTCCTCTACCAGGCCATTCCTCTGCCTCATTCTCCCCCTGCAGCAGCAGCGGCAAGAGCCCAACTCTGGAGAGGGAGTAGAAGGTACAGGCATTGCGGCAGCGGCGGGACAGGAGCCCATTGCTGACAGAGGGCCTGGCCTCAAATTACACCGTATCAGAGCTCAGGCATAAAATTAGCAGCAGTGCTCTGTGTGTGAGGAGGCAGAGAAATACCCGTATTCAGCAGAATCACAGGCAGGGTCAGAAGAAAAGGAGAGAAACAGGGGAGGAGGGGAGGAGGGGAGGAGCTGGCCCATCACAGGCTCTTCCCTGGACACCCTTGTCCCCCAGTGGAGAGATGGCTTCCCAGTGGCTGAGTCAGGGCCACAGGAGGTTTTGGGGGATAATAGGTGCTGGGGTTTGGGAAGGCCAGACCTGAAAGAACCTGGGAAGGTAAACTTGAGGGCTTGACCCATGTGAAACACACACACACAGATATACACACAGAAAACAATAAAAAAGAATAAGCAACTTCCAAGTGTCTACGTACTTTGATACATTTTTTTCTACTAATTCTTACTGCAACTCCATTAGGCAAGCCTGTTTTACAGATTGGTGAAGAAGAAAGTTTCAAAGAGGACATGCCAGCTTGCCTGAGTTCACCTATTGTAAATGCACTCGTGTTTATACTCATTGGGCACCGATTTCGATCCAAACACCGAAGTGTATTCTCTCCTACTCACAAGGCCACCGCTATACACATCATATGCTCTTGTATAGACACAATATCAACTCACACTTGCCTACGCAAGCTGTATGTGTTTAGACACACAGAGGTGTTTCCCACTGTCGGCATATGCTACACACACTACTTACACAATCACCTGCACAATCTGTATGCGCTTGCTTGCTAAAATTGTTTTGCCACTTCCTGCCCTTCCTGCCAACTGGAGATCAACGTCTTCCTCTTCGCCGAGTTATGGCCGGCTGCTTGCACCTCTTGCTCCTCGCAGGCACCTGCATTAATAACCCTGTTCTGCTACTTCCGCATCTCATTGTTTTATCCTCTAGGCTGGGAGCCCCGAGACACCAGCGACTCATCGGACTTCTTGTTTGTGTTATTTCTAGTTCTTTGGGTGTGAATTCTTCACGGTGTGGAGGCTCTGAGCGGTCTTTCACGGCTGATGATTTGTACTTTTGGTCTGTGAGTTGACAGAGCAGGACCTGCAGAGTCGCCGACTCCACATCGTTTTTATGTAATGCCTCGGTTTAGGGTTTTTGCACCATGTGGGCAGCTTATATCCAGGTCTTACACCGGTGCAGAGGGCAGGCTTGAGGCTGCTCCGGTACACATGTCCCTAGTTCCGCCCATGGCCTGCGAGGGGACCTCAACTCCTGCCGTGACTCCAGGCAGATGGCTGAGAAACTCTGTTCCCATAATCAGTTCTGACACTCACTTCACACCGAGAGCTCAGATTTGCCTCCCTGCCAATAGCACAACCTGTGGCCTGTACCTAGTCCCAGATTTGGCATTAAAATCTCAGCCCCAGCAATGCGTATCCAGTCTCAGTTTTCCCATGGGCTGTGTGCCATGTTCCCCTCTCCCTGGCATAGATTCCTGACCTCTCTCTTTGATCCTACCTGAAAATTATGCTTTCTTGTCTTTCGGCCAGGATTTGCATGTGTGAAATTGTTTAAAAGGCCTTTCTGCTCTGCATCTGTGAACACGAGTGTGAGAGTGTGTGTGGCTGCTGTGTGCCCGTGACTCCTGTGGACCTCTTCTCGGAGAGGTTCCTTCAGAATCAAATAGCCACACGTGTCAGGAGCCACAGTCACCGACTAGCAGCATTTCCTTCATTCAATGAATACTGGTTGAGCACTTGCAATGTGCCAGGCATGCTGCCAGCAGGGTGGCAGTCATTAAACATACAGATACACAAACCTCAGATGACAATAGCTATGCATACTTTGCAGTACATGTGCAGGGATCTGTAAGAGAATGTAGGTGGGAGGGTCTTCATTTAGGGTGAGGGGTCAGGGAAGGCCTCGCTAATGATGTAACTTCTAAGCTGAGATGCAAAGGAGGCAGTGAAGTGCTCATTCCGGCAGAGAGGACACCATACCCGAAGGGCTTGGGGTAGATGTCTTAGAACATTCTAGAAATGGAAAGGAGGCCAGTGAGAAAAAGAGAGCTCAGGAGTGGAGGCTGGGGAAGGCTGCAGGGCCTCAAGAGCATCACAGGCATGCAGAACAAGGAACCCAGACTTTCTCCTGAGCACGGAGTGGCAGGGCAGGACAGTTGAAGCAGGGAGGGTGAAATCACTCTGATTGGCAGACCTGTGAAAGAGGATTGGCTGGGCATGGAGAGCTAAGGATGAGGAAGGGATACCCCAGAGTGCGAGGGAGCACAAGCCAAACTTCACACTCTAGGACAACAGAGGCTAGAGGAACCAGGAGGGCTTCCTGGAGGAGGTGGCATTTACTCTGGGCCTAAGGGATCACAGGAAAATGGAGGCCAGCATTCCAGGCCTGGGGAGGAGTTTGGGCAAGTCTTGGCAGTGAGAGAATGAGGGTTGGGCTGATGGGCCAGAGGATGTGAAGTTCCCCAGGGGACGGGGACCCCCTGATGGCTGGGACCCCATCTCTGATGGAGCAAGGCTTCTATGCCCAACTGAGGCTTGACACCAAGGACTGGCATCAAGGAAGTGGACTGCTGTAAACCTGGCATCCAAGGGTCCACTTCCTCAATTGCTGTGCAGCTGGGAGGTAAGAGGAAGTGTGGGCCATAGGCTAGACCCAGAGGGCCTGGAGGAGGAGCCTCTGCCAGAGCGGAGAGAAGCAGCCTGTGCCTCCCCAAAGGCAGCTCCTGGGGACTCCCAGGACCGCAGGCTGAGACGAGACGCAGGGTGGCTGGAGGAAGTGAGAGGTGAACTCAGCCCGGGACCAGGTGGGCGAGACTCCACCTGCTCCCTGGGACCATCGCCCACCATGGCTGCGGCCCAGCAGCTGCGGGCCGAGAGGTGAGTGCCGGGGTGTGGCTGCCCCCGGGCCGTCTCACTGCTCCTGATAGGCCTTGGGGACAAAGGCTGGTCCTTCTGCAGCCCCTGACCAACAGGAGAGGCTGGGGTTGAGTCAGAACCCAAATACTCAGAAATGCAGCCTCTCAGAACGGCTTTAAGGAACCTCCGAGCTGCGGCTCACCATCCTCAGACACAAATGAGAACACGGAGGCTCCAAGAGGGGGAGCAACTTGCCGACGGCCACACGAGTGAGTGGGAGTGTCTGGAGAGGAACGCGCTTGTCCCTGGTCCCAGGCTGGGGCCGTTTGCTCCATATGGTTATCAGCACTTTCCATCATCTGTGCAAACAGAATTCATAGAATCTGGCTTGTTCTTCCTCTATTCAGGGCTTGGCTCAAATGCCACCTCCTCCTAGAAGCCTTCCCTGACAGCCCCCACCTCACTGCTGTCTGATCCTTTGCCCTGTTTCCTTTTACTGCCTACTCCTTATATTCCTATATTCCTGGAATAATATAGGCTCATTTATTACTTTTTCCTTTAGCAGTGGCTCCCCCGTGAGAAGCAAGCTCCATGAGAGGTTCTGTCTGCTTTGATCACTGCTATATCCCTAGAAGTTAGCTCCTTCCTATTGTGCACCAGGATCAAGGGCTCCATAAATATTGCTGAATGAATGAATCCATGAATGAATGGATGGATGGATCTTTGAGGTGGAAAGTGTCTTTGATTCTTCTAGTCCTAACTTGCCATTGTACAGATGGGAAATCTGAGGCCCAGGGAGGATAAGAGACTTACTCAAGGTCACGGAGAGTGGCTGGCAGGGCTGGGGCGTGGACACAGCCTCACCAGGGTCTAGCCTCGTCTCTTGGCAAACATCTCCAGAATTTTTCCTCCATATCCAGGACTGCCCTAGGAGCTGCAAAGGCCTTGAGGTCACAGGGCCTGGCCCTGCACCCACTGGATTGGAACAGCAGGTGACTGCTGTGATTTATTTGGAAGCCACTTGAGGGTCATCAGAGGCAGGCCAGGCTGGTGTGGGCCTACATGGGGAACCTGTGGGCTGGGTGGGGACAAGGGCAGCAGAAACGAATGCTTGCAGGGAGTCCGCATGGCCCTCCTGAGCTCAGAGCCAGGTACTGGAGCTGGGTAAGGCTGGCCAACATGAATTCCTTCCTCCCAACACGTTCTCCTGGGGGACCCAGCTGCACGCGAACTCGAATCTTCCGGAAACAGCAGCTGTTTGAGGCTTGGACACTTCCTGATTTCTGGGGTAAAAGGCTCAAGGGATGATGGCGAGAGCCAGTTGGCAGTCCTATGTGTTCCCTCTCCCCTGCTCCCTGTCCCCTTTCAGTCGCCTTGGCCCTCAGAGGGGGTGGGACTGCCTTTCACGAGGCCTTGAGCCAGGCACTGGGGGCATGGGGGCTCCCTGTACCTCAAAGGCCTCATCTGAGAGCAAGCCCGGATTATTCTGCAGAGTACAAGGAGATGGTGCAGGTTTGCACAGCAGGGCTTTCTAGAACCCCAAGGCAAGACATCCAGGGATGGAGAGGGCTGCCGCAGGGGTGGCAAGTTCGCTTCCAACAGTCATGTTTTGAGCACCTACTGTGTGTCGGGTGCCACAAAACCTGCCCTGGCTGCCCTCGAAGGATTCTTCCAACTTCGGCCTCCCTGAGGACAGGCTCCAAGGTGGGCCGTTCATGAGCAGCACTAGTGTATCTTGAGCCAGAATGTCCCAGCCCAGCAGGGCCTGGGTGAGGTCCCCAAGGGATCGGGGGCGGCTACTCCAGGGAACTTCCAGTTGGATTTGCTGTTCTTCTTGCCTGCCCCGCAGGCAGCCAGGTCATTCTCACACTGCCTATCAAAACCCTCCATAAATGCAGACAGGGGTAGTGGCCGTGTATTGAGCACCTACTGTATGCCGGGCTCTGTTCTGGGCACTGGAACGTTGGGTGAGCAGAGTCCCTGCCCTGGTGGGGATTTTAGGTCTATGTTTGTTACAGATGAGACTGCGTGACCACCCCATAAGTACTTCTCTTATCCCCATTTTACAGAGGAGGGAAGGAGCTGGAGCACAGGGAGGAATCTCCCCGAGGGGGCTTGGTCTTCTTGTTCCCAGGGCTGTTCCTGTGCCTCGAGCATCTGCCAGTGTGTGTCCTGCTTGACCCCTTCCTCGGCCCAGGCCGGCCCAGGCCACCCCAGGGAAAACTCGAGGTCCCTCTGCGAGGCATCGAGGTGCCTCCTGAGCGGGTCCTGGCTGTCTCTCTCGCTGTTCTCTCACCACGTTCTACCTCCCCGCTCCGTGCTCCAGCCACGCTCAGCTCCCTGCAGTTCTCTGAACGTGCCCTTCTTGAATGGCTGTGGCCTTTGCACCTGCCACTCCCCCTGCCTGAAAGGCCTTTCCTGCTGTCCCGTGACCAACTCCTCTTTGCTATTCCTGGCTGGCCGCTGGCACCGCTTCTTCCGGGAAGCCCTCCTTGACCAACTCGGCCTGAGGATGCCCTCTGACACTGCTTGAGCCTCCATAGTACAAGCTCCTGCTCCCAATGACTCCTGCCTGCTGCATCACTGATTCTTTGAGGAAATATAATAATGGCCAGGCTCCTGTGCTTTGCCTTCTTAGCACTGTGCCAGTTTGAATTTTGTCATTATTTGTTTAGTGTTCACTGTCCCCTTCCCTTCTCCTTGGAGCTGTGAGCTCTGAGAAGCCCATATGTCCTAATGGGCTTGGAACAGTGTCTGGTCCACAGGCAGTGCCACATACAGGTTCGCTAAAATTATATTTATTTTAGATGGGGACACAGGCTGAGAAGGGCTGGGATTTTTTTTAAGTTCACACAGCAAGTTGCCGGGAAGCTCAGAGAGTGGGGCAGTGTGGCAGGGTTTGGTAACAAAATTCTGGAGCCAGACTGCCTGGGCTCAGATCCCAGCTTCCCGACTTACTCGGGCTAATCTCGCTGTGCCTCAGTCTCCCAATCTGTGCAAAGGCAGCACTGTCTTAGAAGAGCTCCTGGTGCCCTCAGGAAATAGGTAGCTGCCGTCCTTATTACCCAACCTGCCTGCTGCCCTGCTCAGGGCTGTTTCTACCCTTCAGGTTCCTTCCTGCCCATCCCCACCCCCCCCACCCCCACCCCCAGCCCCACCCCGCCATCATACTGCAGAGGAAATTACCCAGGACAAGCACAGCCTCAGGGGAGAAAGTGGAGGCGGAAGCTTCTCCCAAGGGTATCACCCCGGGGGCATGTGTGGAGAGTGGGGCCGGGAGAGGGGATTTCCTCTACCCGCCCACTGCCACCCTGAGTCACCTCTGGGCGCAGCACCCTGAGTTCTGATGCACCCTCAGATTCCAGGTCATGTGGGTCTGGCATGCACTGGGAATGGGGTGTGTAGACTCCTAAGGTCCCAGCCAGCTCTGGGGCCTGGGCCTTGGCAGCCCCTGCAATCCCGCCCACCCCACATTTCCCAATTGCTGCACCAGAAGAATCACAATTGCTTCTTGTTTCCTTGCCTGTCTCCAAGTGTCTGGACTCAGTGACCTCAGCAACCTCTGGCTGTTCCTCCTTCCTCTCCTTGGCTGTCTGTTTTCTATTCCCCTCTCTGTCCCTCTCAGCCCCCTCCTCTGTTCCCTGAGAGCTCTTCACTGAGTCAGGAGCGGGGGTCTTACCCACAAGCCACGTTTTTTAGAGATGGAGTTTCCCTCTGGTTGCCCAGGCTACAGTGCAATGTTGCGATCTCGGCTCACTGCAACCTTTGCCTCCCAGGTTCAAGAGATTCTTCGGCCTCAGTCTCCTGAGTAGCTGGGATTACAGGCATGCACCACCATGCCTGGCTAATTTTGTATTTTTAGTAGAGATGGGGTTTCTCCATGTTGGTCAGGCTGGTCTCAAACTCCTGACCTCAGGTGATCCGCCTGCCTCAGTTTCCCAAAGTGCGGGGATTACAGGGGTGAGCCACCACACCCGGCCCAGAAGTTTCTTATGTGGCCCCTTTTAGCCAAGACCCCCATGCTGAGATCCTGAGCTACACAGCAGGCCTCTCAAATTAGCATGCCCCAAACTGAATCCATCAACCCTGCCCCCCGCTGCCATCCTGGCCAGAAGTGTGGGTGTCACTCTTGACACCGCCTTTTCTTTCACCTCCACATCCAAATAATCCCCAGCCTCTCCTGGTCATAACTTAGGAACAACAAGAAATTGGTAATGTGTCTGCTGAAAATTCATTAGGCTGCAGGGAATGGGACACAGATGATGGCTTAAACAAACAGGGACTTATTTGGTCACATAACAAGAAGTCCACTTGGGGAGGTCAGGAGTTTGAGACCAGCCTGACCGACATGGTGAAACCCCATCTCCACTAAAAATACAAAATTAGCCAGATGTGGTGGCACATACCTGTAATCCCAGTTACCTGGGAGGCTGAGGCAGGAGAATCACTTGAACCTGGAAGGCGGAGGTTGCAGTGAGATGAGATTGCACCACTGCTCTCCAGCCTGGGAACAGAGCAAGACTCTGACACACACACACACACACACACACACACACACACACACACACAGAGTTCAGAGCTAAGCCCTAGTTGGTTCTACAGGCCAGTGACATCAGGACTAGTATCCCAGAGATTCCTTTGGCCCTTCTCATGTTCTGCCGCACGCAGAAAACATAACTGCTGTAGGTCCAGATGTCACACTTGCTTCAAGACTGCCTTCAAAGGGGAAGATCATGCTGACCTTGTCCCTCCCTTGGAATCAGAAAAGCGAACACTCTGGAGAAGCCCCTCCACCAGGCTTGCTCTTAGGTCTCATTGGCCAGAACTGATCACATAGCTGCTCCTAGCTGCAAGGGAGAAACAGGAGCTGGATGGTGATGCTTGGCTCAGACCCATCATGATCTATCATTCTGGGGCTAGGCACATGGCCACTCTAAACAAAACCGGTGCTTGGCTGGCCAGGAGTAAGCAAGGGATACAGCAAATGCTCAGTGTCTACCAAGGGTGGTGGCCCTTGTGTCTGTCTCCCCCCGTCCCTGCTGTCTGGCTCAGGTGCACACAATCTCTCAGTCAGACCACTTCAGGGCCTCCCAGTGCTGCTCTCTCCCCTAAGTCTCTGCCGTTCTTTCCTCCCCACACGCCTGCCTGAGCTGGCCCCTAAAGCAAACATTGTATTGTGTTTTATTTTCTTTCTTTTTTTTTTTTCTGAGATGGAGTCTGGCTCTGTCACCCAGGCTGTAGTGCAGTGGCACGATCTTGGCTCACTGCAACTTCTGCCTCCTCCTTCAAGTCATTCTCCTGCCTCGGCCTCCTGAGTAGCTGGGATTACAGACACCCACCACCATGCCCAGCTAATTTATTTTTAGTAAAGATGGCGTTTTGCCATGTTGGCCAGGCTGGTCTCAAACTCCTGACCTCAAGTGATCCTTCTACCTCAGCCTCCCAAAATGTTGGGATTACAGGCATGAGCCACCGCACCTGGCCTATGTTTTACTTTCTTTCAAAGCCCTATGTAGCTCCCCATTGTTACAGAAGTTCCCTGCTTGGCCCCTGGGACCCTCAGACTGGCCTCACCTGCCCATTCAGTCTCAGATCACACTGGCCCCAGCCACACAGATTGGGGTCCACTCCACAGGTCATGCTGCTCCCACTGCCTGGAAAAACCTCCCCAATTTCCACCTCGCAGATGCCTCTTCTACCCTCTAGACCTGCTCACATGTCACCTCCTTTGTGAGGATTTCCCCAACCTGGGCACAATGAGGCAGTCTTTCTATGGCGCTTCCATAGCACTCCACCCAGGGCATGTGTTGACTTTGTTTACCCCTGTGACCCAGGGCCTAGGACTGGGCCTGGTATGGAGATGTTTGATGCCTTGCTCCAGGACGAATCTGTGCAGTTGACGACAATGTGTTAGACTATAATTTGGCTATTGCTATATGGCCACCATCGTCCCGTCCTGATGCCCAATGTGGCCGCCAGCGTCCCATCCCTACACTCAAGGCTTGGGCTGTGTCTTGTTATCTCCTTATTTCCAGGGTCAGTGGCTGGACCTGGCCGGGGAAGGGGTGCTGAGAGACCAATGTGGGATCCACATCATCGGTTCACTTTGCACGCTGCCTCATACCCGGCGAGCCCACAAAACACATCCGGGTGATAACCGGGATTTCTTTTCCTCTGCTTCGCACAGCGACTTTGAACAGCTTCCGGATGACGTTGCCATCTCAGCCAACATCGCCGATGTCGAGGAGAAGAGAGGCTTCACCAGCTACTTTGTAAGAGACATTCCAGGTCCTTCACCTGACAACCTCTAAACTTCCACTCGGCTGACCTCTGAACCTTGCCCTCTGACCTCTGAGCCTCCAACTCTCTGCTCTCTTAACTTCTGTCTCAGTGCTGCTCAACAGGACCTATTTTGCCCATTTGCCATTACCCTGGGAGATTCTGATGACTGCATCATAGGGCAGGTCTAGTTCATATCTAGTGGGTAGAATCCAGGATGCTGCTAAACACCCCACCGTGCCCAGGACAGCCCTGTCCCCGGTAAAGAACTATCCCGCCCCAGAGTGGCATGAAGGTTGAGAAACCCTGATCTCATCCTTTGACCTCTGAACCTCCACCTGGAGAGTCGGGGGTGAGGGGCTTTGGTGTTACCCCCACAACACCCCTGTCATATGCAGACAGATGGAGGGGCACCCTGTGCCCACAGCACAGCCAGCGGCAGGTCCACTCTGCACTGTGACCTTCAAGGCATGGCTCCTCATTTCTTGGGCCTGAGTGTGGGTGTGGCCTTTTTCTGAGGGCTCTTGTCTCTACTGCTGGGTCTCACTTCCTCAACTTTTTCCAGCCTTTTTCTTTCTTTTTTTTTTTAGCAAAGCTCGCCTACTTCTAGGGCACCAGCCTTTTGACTTGACAGGGGTCTCCTCCTCCAGAAATCCTTCTGCGTCCTTCTCCTCACCACCTTCCCCTGCCCCCGCCTTCTCCTCCTCTTTTCCCTCCACCTCCCTTTAGCTTCTGCTTCTGGCCTCTGAGCCCTCCCCCAACGCCTGTCCCCCTAGGTTTTCGTCATTGAGGTGAAGACGAAAGGAGGATCCAAGTACCTCATCTACCGCCGCTACCGCCAGTTCTACGCTTTGCAGAGCAAGCTGGAGGAGCGGTTCGGGCGGGAGAGCAAGAGCAGTGCCCCGGCCTGCACCCTGCCCACGCTCCCAGGTAGGCGTCACTCCCATCCTGCTGCTGCTGAGCTGTTGGCTCTCCTTCCTTCCAGAGCCCCGACACTGTCCTGTGATTTTATCTCAATCTCATGTGAAAACTGTTCATGTAATTTACAGCCCCGCCCCCAGCGGTCATGAGCTGCCGGCCCTCCCCGCACAGCTCCCCTGCCTCTGGCTGTGGCTTTCACCCCAAGCACTCCAGCCTCACAGCCACAGAGCTCTGATGATCTTGGTGGCCACCCACTCCTGCTGTTTACTACTAGGAGGCCACAGTCTGGAGCACGTCAGCACCCGGCATCCCTTCCTCGAGACAGGAATCCCCGAGTCTGACCCCTAAACACACTGACTCACCTCCCGGCCCACCCTCAGCTTCCTCCCACAAGACCAGCCCTCTGACTTCATGGTCTTGGCTTCCAGCATCCCTGTGGCTCTCTTTACTCCCCTGTCCTGCCAGGAAGCTGGGCAGGATCACGCCTCTGCTTGCAAAGAGCCCCCTCGCCCCCTGGCCTCCTGGTCCTTCCTCTCCAGCTGCGTCTTAAGGTGCACCTTGGACAGCGCCACACCCTTAGCTGCTCAGGGCCTGCCCCCAGGAGGAGGAAACCCTACCATGAGTGGGTTACATGGGGGTGTCTCAGTGGCTCCCTCCATCCCCTGCAGGCCAGAAAGAGGGAAACCATTGTCTCCTTTCCCCAAACCTCAGGGACCCTTCCCCAAGCTCCGCCCCTGCCTCCAGCTTGTGTTCTCTGTAGCTCTGTCTCTCTCTCTGTCTCAGGCTATGACCCTGCTCCTCCTCATCCAGCACCACCAAGGAACTCAAAGCTCCCCCAGGAGTCTTCCTGCTCTAAGCCAGCCTCCCCTCTCAGACTCCATCCCTTTCCCTCCTTTCTCTTTTAGGGGTCTCCACTGACAACCCCATTTTCCTTGCTATCTGAGGATAGTCCTGAAGATCCAGGCAGGTTGGGGAGCCTGCAGGAACACAGCCTTTGGGGAGGCAGGTGTCTGGTGGGAGCAGAACATTCTGGAGTTCATGCACCTGTCTTTGGTT